GCTAGGTTTTGACTCATTAAAATTCTATAACGACATTCTCAAAACAAAAAAGGTTATCTCGAAAACAATACTGACTGTAAAATGGAGATAGTATAGTTTTATTATCATTTGGTCCTAAATCTTCAATAATGAAATGATCTTGAGATGAATTTATATATGACATTGTCAAATGGAAAGATTAAACAGCCATGTACTAACCTGAAGTCCAAGGGTCCACTTTTTGTCAACTTTGATACGTGATCCTAGTCCAGTCGTCCTCCTATGGTTATCAACCAATGCAGGAAACGAATAGCCAACTTGTGAAGCAGCCATGTGAAGCGTCGAATCAAAAGTACCATCCTATATTCATAATAAATATTAACAAGAAAATATGTAAGTAAAAACTCTAAACAAGACTTAAGGCTCCAACGAAATGGTATAAGAAATTACAACAAAATTCACATCTGAGACTAGTACAAAATATAATGGTGATGACTCGTAGGGCATATTAAGACTCGACCGATAACTTGACAAAATTTACAAATACGAAATCCTAACAAATTAGTTTTGTAGGTTAATAACTTGTCTAATTATTTTACATTTAACACGTGCGTATAAAGAATCATTTTTTAAAACGCGAAAAAAACTTTACTAACGTTTTAAATGGTAAAAAATAACAGAATCACATTTTCAAAACGTGAATAAAGTGACATTTTCTACATATACTCTTCACTACTGAGAAAAATACCCAATAGTTTCACATTGCATATTTTTTTTTAGATTTATTTCCTAAACGTTTTATGTTGGATAGAAAGAGATCAAGTAGTACCAATGTATCTTTGAACTTGGATTGGGAATAGTCACCGTGAACACGACGTCGATTGTCAAGTAATATATAATATGTAACTGTAGCCTAAAACAATGAAAATGACACATTAGCAGTCGCTTTGAAAACAAACTATATAGCTACATTATGAATTATTTTGTATAAAACTCATATGTACCTCATTTTGGATTCTATTGGAAAGAGATTCCACAATCTCTTTTCTATCAAATCCTATGCTGACTGCTTCTTGAATGATCTCCTCATCAAACTGGAAATTATTATAAATTCTAACCTTAGTTATTAATATGCAGAAATGATCATATTTTGCTACATTATACTGAAAAGGTTATAACCTTTTGTGCTGAAATGTCTAATGGAGGAACCGCAAGATAACGAGGAATATGGATATTGAACCAAGGATGTTGTCGAATCTCAGGAATGCTAATTCTTACTATAGGATCAACCATAAGCATCCTCGGTATCAAATCTCTAGCAGCATATGATAAATGATCTGGAAGAGTATACTCTCCCCTCTAAAAACAAAAAGAACATAAGAATTTGACCGCAAAACATTTGCATCACATATGATTTATGAAAGATCATTCTATAAATATATACCTTTATTTTGTTAAACAGATTAGGGATATTTTCGTCATCGAAAGGAAGCCTACCACACAATAGGGCATATAATATCACTCCACAACTCCATATATCTACTTCTGGTCCAGCATATGGTTTTCCTGAAATAACCTATAAACAAAATTTTCGGATGTGAAAAATTGAAACTTGATACTCCATTACATAAAAGAAGAATGATATATAACAAGAAAGATAATGTACCTCCGGAGCAGCATAATTAGGGCTTCCACAACTTGTTTTAAAAAAATGGCCATCTTGCATGACATTACTTAAGCCAAAATCTACAATCTTTATGTTACGTTTCGAATCCAAAAGGATATTCTCCGGTTTGAGATCTCTATGAACGACCTTATTGCGATGACAATACTCTACACCAGATATGATCTGCATAAATACGAGTTTAGTGAAATGTTACCAATCAAAGAAATATGATATTTACGAACTACGACTTGTATGAAAAACTATACCAACCTGCTGAAAAAGAAGGCGACCTTCGTCTTCTTGTAATCTACCTTTCTGTACAATATAGTCAAATAGTTCTCCGGACTTAACATATTCCATTACAACGTAAATGTCGTCTGGTGTCTCTATAACTTCATATTGACGGATGATATGAGGATGCATCAAAAATCTGAGAATTTTGATCTCCCTTTGCACTATAAAAGAAAAGAATGAACAAATCAAGACTAATAATAATAATGATCATTGTGTCATTTTACTCCGTTCCCAAACTACTCTAAACGACAAAAGAGTGCATATAAAACGACATTTAACCTAATCGGGCTTTTTTGTCGATTTCACGAAAAAGTGCATATAAAACGACATTTAACCTAATCGGGCTTTTTGTCGATTTCGGGTGCTGACACATCAACAAAAGTAGCATAAACAAAAGTAGCATACGTTAAATGCATTTGACATAAATCTTTTGTGTCGATTCAAATATTTATGAGAAAGATTAGCTGACAATTCATACAAAAAACTATTGATATTATCAAGATCATAAATTAATCATTGATTATCGTATAACCACGATCTTGTAATTTTACGAAACCTCTTAAATATAAATAAAGACATTTATATATATACCTGTTTCATATACTTTGATGTCCTTAATCTTAACACGATTAAGGATTTTGATAGCAACTTTGTGTCCAGTAACTACATGATCTGCTAATTTTACAGTGGCAAAAGATCCATGTCCAAGAGTTTTACCAATCTTATAATTTGGTAAAACCATACTGGTATATTTTTTCGATGATCCGTCCATTTTACTGTAGGTGAAAAGTCTGCAATATATATAAAAAGTCATAATAAAAATCTTTGTAGCAAATGATAATATATCATAGTTACACTAGATAGAAAGAACAACAAATGGTGAATTTCTCAAATCAGAATGTGATTCCAACGAATCT